ATCAGTTTTAATTTCGGGGACCAAACACAGGATTAATCCCTTATAAAGATTCCACTAAATAAATTTTGTTTTATTTATATAAGAATAAAAGAAGAAATCAAGCATAGAAACAATAGATTTTAAAATAAAATGCAAATCAGCCATATCTACTAGTTTGAATCGAGCAATACATTAAGCACATTATTCATATTAAATTATTACTTACTACTACTTGTCTTAGAGCTTTCTAATTAATATTACTCAAAGCACTTTAAGCTTATCATTATAGAGGTATTCTCTCGCAATTCTCCCATTGGCACCCTCGGGAAAGAACCCTCCGGGCTTATGTTCGTCGCCGGTGCCATACACGATTCTTACTATCTCCGCCGGTGTTCTCGGGTAGGAGAGTGAATTGTAGTCGGCCGACAGGACGTTGCTGCTGGTCCGGTTCTCAGCTCCGAGCTCCGGAGGTACCATTAGGCCTTCATCTTTGATACCGCAATGACCTAGCTTGTTTCTTAGCTCCGAGATCCTTGTTGTGAACTCGTTCACCGTTATGTTGTAAGGCTCCACGTTATAATTCGCTATCCTATACAGCCATGCTCGAACGGTCGCGTCTTGTCCGGACTCCACCCCCATCAGTCCGGCCACCAACTATTAGAAGGAAAAAAAGTAAGCAATTAATTGAAGATCTAAACAGTGTAGGACGTGATTTAGTATTGGAGTTACCTTTTTCGTAGCGAATTTTTTAAGGCACGGGATCGTACCGACGTAGCCGTTGAGTCCGACATAGGGGATACAATATGTTCCCAATAAATACTTGATGCCATCTGCATAGGGATCAAATGGAGGATCCAAACAATACCCCATTGCTTCATCAAAAAATTTTGGCAAAAATTTCAGAGCTTATATCTATTGGAGGCCTTTGGATTCCACCAACTGTTGTTCTAATGGCCCTTAAAAGGTAAACAAAAACATGTCATTGCCTGAAATCAATACCACTCGCATGCATAAAAGCTTACCTGAGATGGCCAATTTCCTGATAACCGAACTCCTCCATGACTCGATGAGTGAGATGGTCGAGATTGGCCTTCTTGCAACCGATCGGAGGTGGTCCGCCCTTCGCAAATTCCGGTTCAAAGGCATCGAGACCTCTTCCGTGTGTACCACACAGGAACCACTCAGTTTCTGGGAATTCCAAGTTGTAGGCGAAATGAACCCGGTTCTTGTCGGTGGCGTCGATCGGTTCACAATCTCGAGGACACGAAGGGACAGCGATGAGTTGTAACGGAAGTAGGAAGAGAATTATAGCAGAGTAAAATGAAGGAGTATCCATTTCTAAGTAAACTGCAACTTGATTTCGTTTTCCTACATGCATGAACGGACCACCAGCTATATATAGAGAGAGAAAAGTTTTATATAAATTTAAATCTAAAAGACGATATTATTGTAATGAATATCCACGATTCTTAATCCTTATACCGTAAGATTCAAAATAAAATATTATTTTAGATTGTTCTGAAAATACACGTTGCTCAACCAATGTCGGGAAATTAACTATTTTTTGCGAGTTTCTCTAACATCAGACAAGGAAAACCATTTCCTTCTTTTAACGTGTAGTTAGGAAATGCATTGCGTTTAGCAATAGATTAAGTGAAATTAGTGGGATAAAACTTTATTTGCATTTCTAGGTATTAAAGCTAAATGCAAGCTATTCCTAAATATTAAAATTATACAATAAAATTCAATTACAATACATAAATTCTGATTCAATTTGATTATATATATATATATATATATATATATATCTTTAATTACGGTTACAAGGTACATATGAAACTTCATCGTTATTCATTCATTAATTTTTTATTTTATAAAATTCACCATTATCTTTCAGCCAACATTTCCCTATAAATATGGGATTTAGATAAAGGAAAAGATATATCAAAATTAACATTTAATATTCTTTTATTATATTTCTTGTTTTTCTAGGAAGTGGGATAATCCCAAATGGAGAAAAGTTTATTGATTTTGTAAAAGAAACTGTCTAAACAAATATTAAAAAGTTAAAACTTATCTGTACAAATGGTAGAGATTTGAGAATTGCAACCTACTACATTGTCTAACTCAACTAGGGATGGCATAGGACCCGAACCTGATGGGTTTCAGCCTGATCCGACTTGATCGGGTCGGGATAGACTCGGGTTTAGGGTAAAAAATACACGACCCAATCTAACATCGAAAAAATATAATTTTACCTTATATATTTAGGAATAATTATAATAATACCCCTCTATATATTATTTTTTTCAATTAAATCATTGTTTTTTTAATAAAAATAAAATTTATTATTATTTCGGGTCGGGTCGGATCGGGTTCGGATTTTATATCAAAAAATATGATCGGGTGGAGGGTACATATTTTTCGAGTTGAGTTGAGTCGGGTGAAGGATGTAAAATTTTCGTGTCGAATCGGGTTGGCCGAATGCCCGTCCCTAAACTCAACTAACAGTCATCATTCACCTTCCTCTCAACCAACAATCATGTTTACTTTATTTTATTGAATTACACTTCCAAAAAAAAAAATTGAAAAAAAATGTATGTTTTGAATTATATTTTCACCTTCTTCTCGAATTTAAGTTTTACTATGTATGAATATTATATTTATGAGTTTTCATTTCATATTTTATTTTGTTTTAAATTTTATGTGAGCTTCATCGGAATGTATTTTGTTTATCAGTATAATTATATGTTTTTATTTATAATCGTGATTGTAACTACGTTTTTAGAAAGAAATTACTTTTACTTACGAAATTAAAGAGTACTCATTAAAAATTTCGATAAAATTAATATTCGAGTATGACAAATGATTCTATCGTAATAGAAATTAAGATAATATCATATTATCTTCGGTAAAAGAATTGAAATGTTACATGTGTACCTCATCTTAAAAGAATTTGATCTTATATTTTTCTTCCTTTTGTTACATTTTAAATATTAGTCTTCAATGTTAGGTTATTCATTTCAAATAAATTTTCTACTTAGATTTGATTACCGACTACAATTTGTTTATCACGTGGTTGGTTCACATACCAATTTTTGGGCAGTGAACTCAGCTGTGCGTTTGTATTAAATATTAAAAACAAAATTTAAATCTCAGGTATTACAGTTGAGATGGCCGAGTTGGTCTAAGGCGCCAGATTAAGGTTCTGGTCCGAAAGGGCGTGGGTTCAAATCCCACTCTCAACATGTATTTTTTAACTTTATTTTTCCCTTCTGTTCTGTTTGTTGTCTTTTAATGGGATAATGACAGATTTGGTACTTGTATTTTATCCAAATTTTAATATAATACCCCTACTTTCAATTCTATTTCAAAATATTCTATAGATGTAGTACCTCCCTTTGTTGTTTTTTAATGGAATGATTAATAGATATGACCCCTCTACTTTGTCAAATATTTTAATTTAATACTTATATTTTAAAAATGTCTATTATAATATTCAAAATTTTATTCTATTTATCAATATATTAAATATGTTGTCAACTTTTCTCTTTGTAATACTACCGATTGTCAATGACATACTAAACAATAAATGACAGGTCCATACGTAAAATATAATTACTAATCACCAGCATTAGCTCTCCTCTTTGTTAGGGATTTTAGTTTTTTTAATTTAAATAATAAATACGTTTTAATTTTTAATTGTTGATTGAAGCTTTCAGAGAAATTCTTATGTTGATCAAATATTTTGAAATTTTATTTTCTTCAACTAGTTACAATCAAGTGACACGATTACTAGTTACCTTATTTGATCTATCAAAATTAAATTTACTATTTGATAATGATATCTGTAAGTTCTACTAGCTTACGAATAGTCACTATAATATTATGTCTCACACTAAAAGTTGCATATGTATGTATTGTTCAGGGTGGACACATGCTCACATTAAAATTCAAATTTCTTTAAATTAGTTAATAGTTTTACTGGAGGTGTCTACCTTGAAATTTTATTTGTACTTACTCCATACGAACTTCTGTTATTAATACATATACGCACACCCTAAAAATAATGTTGGATTTGTCATTGCAAACTAACACTAAGGATCAATATAGAAGTCACCATGCATTATTAGAGAAGGAATTTGAATTTGCATCCTCTTTCTCTAGTCTTCAAACTCACTTAAACCATCTTTTTTTCAAATAACACTTTCACAATATCTTATAAAATAAAATATTTTTTTAATTTTCTATATTTATAGTATTTTTTAATTTAACATTTAAAAATTATAAAAGTAAGAATTTTAAATATTATTTTTATAATTTTTAAATTAATAATTAATAATAAAAATGGAAAAAATTAGGAGAAAGATCAAAATTTGTAAAATAAAAAAACAATACATAAACTTAATTTTATAAAAGATAAAAGGGTCACTTTTGCACACGTAGTAAATTCAATTTATAATTTTCGCCCATATCATATTTTTGCATCAATTTAACTATTGAAGTTGCTCAATTGCATCATCTTATGCCCTACTCATCAGTTAAAACCCTAAATTAAGAGTTTTAAGTTAGATATTAAAATTTAAGGTTTAAATGTCGTGAGATTATAGTTTAGGGTTTAGAATGATACAATTAAACAACTTTGAATGTTAAATTGATGCGAAAATACGATAGAAACAAAAATTATAAATTAGATCTACTACATGGCCAAAAGTAACCCTTAATCCTTTATAAAAATAAAATAAAAATTTAACTTTTAAATTTTGAAATAATATTGAAACATTAGTATATTTAAAGCTAAACTTTTCAACACGAGGCAGAATCGTGTCAAGGATTATCCGTTTTCTTCCTCACGAAACCCTAACCCTAACTTAAAAGTTGTCTATTTATATTGGCGATAGCGAAAGGGAACTCCGCTGCTCAAAGACTTGTTTCAAATCTACCCTTTTTTTCAACTTCGTAGCCGTTGACTCTATCTACTACTTGTTTTCCTCTTCCTTTCTAATATTCTTTTGAATGTGAAGGAGGCGATGATGCTTCAAACCTACCTATTTTATGAACGGGTTTTCACCATATTTTCTGATTACAAATCCACCAATGGATCCTTCTGAGCCACCTTCTCTTATTCTGTGTTCCAATTTTAACTTCGCTTTCTAATCCTTTGGGTGATTTTGTGAACTGGATTCAAGGCCTTTGAGATGATGATATCTTTGTTCTGAAAAAAACATATTAATGTTGACTTAATAATCAGACTACAATTATCTGATCATTTGGCTATATCCCTCTTTCCCCTAATTTTCTTATATGTTCTGGCTTTTCTTTTGGCTTAAACTAAAAATAATTCTTCTTTAAACTATTTTTTTCAAAATAAATTCTTAAAGAGAAAATCGCCTCAGTGACCAAAAAAAAGTTATAATATACGATTTTAACCAACTTTTTTTGGATTTGCCAAAATGACCAACAAAATCGCAACGCGAAATAAAAATCGCAACGCGATCCCCAGAATCGCAAATCAGTTTCCAGAATCGCAACGCGATTCTTGAAAATCGCGATGCGATAGTACAAATTCGCATTGCGATTTTCCATAATCGCAACGCGAATATGAAAATCGCAACGCGAACACATAAATCGCAACGCGTATCCGTAAATCGCAACGTGTATCCGTAAATCGCAACGCGTATGGGTAAATCGCAATGCGTATCCGTATATCGCAACGCGTATCCGTAAATCGCAACGCGTATCCGTAAACCGCAACGTGTATCCGTAAATCGCAACGCGTATCCGTAAATCGCAATGCGTATCCGTAAATCGCAACGCGTATCCGTAAATCGCAACGATAATCCGTAAATCGCAACGCGTATCCGTAAATCGCAACGATAATCCGTAAATCGCAACGAGAATCTGTAAATCGCAACGATAATCCGTAAATCGCAACGAGAATCTGTAAATCACAACACTGAAATTTTGGGTATATAACACTGAAATCATAAACTAAATCCCTAAATCGCAAGTCATTCCATCTCCATCTATCACTCTCTCCGGCGACATCCGTTCCTATATCCAACGACATCCTTCCCCATCCGGCAACAGGTCTTAGTTTCGCATCTCGTTTGTTTAGTTACAACCATGAAATCATCTAATGTTGATCATGTTTGGATAGATTTGTGTTTTGGAGGGTCATGGGATAATGTTAATGGTGTTTTACAATATATGCCTTTACCCATAAATCTTCAACTAAAATTGTCTTTACAAAAGTTAACTTATGAAACTCTAATGCTACGTGTTTCAAATAAATTGAATTTAGAGCCCCTAAGTGGATTTAGGCTATCTTATCAGAGAAATGGTAAAGTTTATTTGTTAACCGACAATGAAGATGTTGAACGATTCATTGCTTACATTAGTGTTTCACAAGATGATGTTACATTGTATGTTGTTGAACCTAGAAGTAGTATTGTTGGGTCAGTAGCGGGTAGTAATCAACTAAGTTTTTCTCAAAACCCACAACCTTTCTCTAATCCAAATCCCAATCAACTTTCAGCACCAAATTCCGGTTTTCGTATTGACCAGTTAGACGATGATGAGCCAACAGAAAAAATTGTGATTACTAGTCAGTATTCGAAATTTGGTCTTGGTCAATATCCGGACTTTGATATTGGTCAATACACGGATTTTGATGATGTTTCAGAAGAAGAAACAGACCATGCGTGTAATGATATTGATATTGGTCAATACCCGAATTTTGATGATGAAACAGCCGTTGCCGAAGAATGTAATGTTGATGATAATGAGGAGGAAGTTACGACTGTGAATGAACATGTTGAACATCCATTCTGTAATTCATATAATCCTGAAGAAGAAAAAGAAGAAGAAAAAGTCCCCGAAGAAAAGAAAATGCCACGGGCGTATAACTGGAATATGCCAGAATTACTTCAGATACCGGAAGAAGAGTTGATAAAGAAAGCAGTTGATTGTTACACAAAAGTTATTCGTATCAAGAAAGATGATTGTTTTGATACAAAGGAAGACTTGAAGATAGCTTTATATACGAAATGTGTGGAAGATGGCTATCAACTAAAAGTTAACAAATCAAGCAAAGATCGTTTCGAAACAAGGTGTATGATTGACAAAAACTGTACGTGGCGTATGATTGCAAAGAGAATAAAAGATTGCAAAATGTTTCAAGTTAGGACTTTTATTGATAAACATACATGTTCAAGAACCCAAGTTTTTCCTCACCATAGACAGGCAAACAAAAAGGTGTTGGGTGGTTTTCTGGCTGAGTTAATGTTTTTGAATGGCAGGGTATATCGGGGACATGAAATTATGACTGACATGAATGCTCGGTTCAAGATTAGTATATCATATTCTCAAGCTTGGAGAGCCAAATGTTATGCCTTGGAATTGTTGAGGGGGTCGCCAGAAGCATCGTTTGCCCAACTGCCGGCTTATTGTCACAATTTAAAGCTGAAAAATCCTGGGTCGGTAACTCATATCAAAACAGATAGAGATGGACGCTTTGAGTTGCTGTTTATCGCCATTGGTGCTACGGTTAGTAAATCAATATAATTTTGTTGACTCATTTTTGTTAGTTACATGCATTTCACATTTAAATGATTATATTTCTTGTGTATATTATTTTGTAGATTCGTTCGTTTATTACTTGCATGCGCCCAGTTATTATAGTTGACGGAGCACATTTGAAAGGTCGATACCTTGGAGTAAACTTATTAGCAGTAGCCATGGATGCTAACAATGGGATATTGCCAATAGCTTACGGGGTTGGCAAATCTGAAACCTCTGATTCATGGACATGGTTTATGGGGCATCTTAGGGATTGCATAGGTCCTATTAGCAATCTGACAATCATATCCGATAGGGCAAACTCAATTGACAACGCTGTTAGAAGGTGTTTCCCAGATGCTTTTCATGGACTTTGTGGTGTTCATTTGTATAGAAATCTAAAATCAAGGTCTGCTGGTATAAAAAAGCACAAATGGACATACTGGAAGGCTGTAAAAGCTTATCGGGAAGTGGATTTCAATAAACATATAAATTGTTTAAGACGTGTTTTGCCTCAGTGTGCTCAAACACTAGAAGATGTCGGGTTTGAAAGATGGTCAAGAGTACATCAACTTGGAGCAAGATATGGTTTCATGACGTCTAATAGTGCAGAATCAATCAACGCTCTAAGTCGTCATTCCCGGAAATTACCCATTACTATGTTAATGGAGTTTTTTCGAGCCTCTATTCAACAGTGGTACTACAAGAAAAGAAACCATGCAGGTATTATTTCTTTGAATTCGTAACTTATCATATTTATATATTTTACTAAGTATTGTTTATTTAAATTTACAGGAACATTGGAACATCGTGTTACACCATGGACTGAAAAAAAGATAACGAAACGTGTTGTGAAGTCAACGTCATGGAGAGTTGAACCATGTTCAAACACTTTGTTTCAAGTACTGGATAATAACTTAAATGGGCTAGTCGATCTAAATGCAAAGACGTGTAGTTGTATGAAATGGCAAACATCTGGTTATCCGTGTGGCCATGTTATAAAAGTTGCTCTTCATTTAAACCAAGATGATTCAAGCGCATACGCTATGGATTGCTACACTACAGAAGTTTATCGACAGACTTATGCCGAGATTGTCTACCCTATTCCACATCCTTCTGAGTGGGACATACCAGATGACTTACAAACAGTTTTGCCACCAGCCATGGACAGAAGGCTACCTGGCCGACCAAAAAGTCACGATCGTATACCGTCTAAGGGTGAAGAGAAGAAGAGATCGACATGTAGTCGGTGCAAGGAAAGTGGTCATACAAGGTTGACATGTGGATCACCAGTGCCATCAAAATCATCTTTTCCTCTACCAAAATATGGATCCTCATCAAAATCCAAAGCTCATATGGTGTGAACTTTGTATTATGTAAACGTTGTTATTCAGTTGTATTATGTAAACGTTTTAACATTTAACATTTTATGTGTATTATGTAAACGTTGCCATCAAAAGCTCATATGCAAACGTTGTATTATGTGGATTTTATGTGTGAACTTTTAACATTTTCAGTTGAATTAATGACTCAGGCCAACCATTTTGACTTAACCAACTCTTGTTATTCAGTTGTTATCACTATTAGGCATGCATTTGACTATCGCAACACGGAAAATACAATCGCAACGCGAAATGAAAATCCCAACATGAAAATCGCAATGCGGAAATGAAAATCGCAACGAGAGAATCGCAATGCGAAATGAAAATCGCAATGCGAAATGAAAATCGCAACGAGAGAATCGCAATGCGAAATGAAAATCGCAACGAGAGAATCGCAATGCGAAATGAAAATCGCAATGCGAAATTAAAATCGCAATACGAAATGAAAATCGCAATGCGAAATGAAAATCGCAATGCGAAATGAAAATCGCAACGAAAGAATCGCAATGCGAAATGAAAATCGCAATGCGAAATGAAAATCGCAACGAGATAATCGCAATGCGAAATTATAAACGCATTGCGATTTTCATTTCCGCATTGCGATTTTCATTTCGCATTGCGATTCTCTCGTTGCGATTTTCATTTCGCATTGCGATTTTCATTTCGCATTGCGATAGTCATTTTTGCCTTCAACATAATGCAGATTGAAATCAACAAAATCAACCATTACATTTCAATCAATTAAACAAGCACAAATAAGAATTATGTTCGCATCAATTACACAAATCAACTTTTACAAATCATCTTTTACAAATCAATTAAACAATCAAAAATTGAATCAACTTTTACAAATCAATTAAACAATCAAAAAACAATCAATTAAACTATTGAATCAACTTTTGCAGCTCGACATCATTTTCACGCAGTTCACTTCTGAGATTAACCTGCAGAAACCAAACATTTGTTCAAACAACACTTTCTACGCAAATTATTGAATTCTAATTACTTAACCAAACATTTTCATTTATAAGTATATAAACTTACCAATTGTTTATGGACATTTTTATAACGCGGATGCAGGTAGGCAGCGTCTCGTATATATCGATTTAGCCATATAATGCCGAAACCACAAGCCTACTGCAGCTTTATCTCTATCGGTGGGAGGTAGATACTTGA